GTACGACCAGTACGCGGTTATCACAGCTGATAATGATGATGATGATGATGCTTCCGAAAAGCGCAAGGAAAGCAGCAACGGACAGGGGTGTGATCAGAATCAACATAGGTGATCCAGAACGACCGGTAATTAGTAATTGCCAGAGGTTGGTTCGTATGCGGCAAGCACCATGTGGCCAAGAGGCTTCGGCTGTTTCGAAAGTTGCTACTACACAAGAACAGTTTGTGGTTAGCACAACCTTAGCAGACGTTTACCAACGTCAATGCGCTTCGATTCCAGTCCAGGAAGACCACTCATTTCATCCTCAGCAGTCCTAGGCCTACCCACCCGCTCATTCAATATTTTCGGCATTCCTAACGATGTCTGAGCTCTTAGCCCACTATAATAAAACCCCGAAAGCGTCGTAAAATGTCGACTTATGGTTTGTTGGGGCATAGGGAGAACGGACAGTTAATATCAACGTTGCTAAACGAGGCACACGCAGACGGCTACCATTGGAGCAGTCTTCTGCTCGGTGGCTAAAAACGATATTAACATCAAAGAATCGGTCGCGGCGGCTTTTGGATCAAGCGGAGTCGAGCTGGGAAGTGAGGTCAGTTTGAAAACCATTCTTAGGTCTTGAATTCTTTCTTTGGAGAGACAGCACATCAATATCAAGTGAGTCCAAGCTACCTGCTAGAGAAGTCTTTATCCAGCTTGTTTCGGAGTGTGAACGTTAAGGGCTGCCAGCCGGATTGTGTGAGGTTCCGAAAAATAGGATATTGCCGTGGCGCTCAGGCCCAGACATCAGGTTGATCAATTTCTCATCTAGAGCCGTTGGATTAAAAGCCTAACTTTAAGACAGGAAAGGCCGGCCTAAGGTCGATAGAACAATCTGCATTGTCACACGCAATTCAGCCGTTAACCTGGAGTACCAGGAGACCATGTTTGTCATATCTTAGCAGATTGGCCAACATGTATGGGAGGCTGCGATCGTCGCACTAACGTTCCCCAATATGGAGGCGAGATGGATCAGTTGTTAGAACGTGAATTTACTGACTGGAACGTCTGTGGTTTGAACCCGACCTCTGCATCTTGACTCCCTCAGGCTTGGGCAGCCTGGCGGTATCCTCGCCCTCTGGCTTTCTTCGGGAGGCATGGCAGTTAGACACCGGAAGGGTGAACATTTTTCCGAATGGTTCATGGAGATGCGCAAACCGTCACACTGCAGTAGTCGTGTTTGGTAACAATTACTTTGTTTGACATGCTAGGTGACGATAGTTGTCTGGAAAACCTATGGTATGTCTGCGCATTCCCTCGTGGAATATCTGTTTGCCCACGTTCCCGCTCTTTTACTTTCTGATGTCTGATGTGGCCAATGAAATTCTACAATAAAACCCTTCCCGCATCCCGGTATCGGATCTCCGGTTCCGGTCGACAAAGTTCGCAAAATCTGCTATGACGTGTAACCGAGGTGACGAACTGCGTAACGTTATGTACTTCTTTTCGGGACTCAAACGTCCACGGGAAAATGCCAACTGCTGCAGAACCTTCCCCACAGCATTGACAGATGTTCTGAACTCAAGATTGAATAGTATAATTTCTTAGGTTTTTCGTGTGCAGCCATTGAAGATGGCTTCGGTCCGGCGTCGCACTTCGTATAGCCGCGGAGTAAATCAAGGATGTACTGATAAATTGGCGCGTCGGGGTGAAAGTCGGCATCACTGGTCTGTTATGCCCATGAAACGACAGTCGTGAGGAACCGTGTATTTCATGCACCTCGACCTAGTGGTGTGCTGACCGATGTGATGTCCTAGAGATTTGACAAATAGCTGTCCTACTCATCAAGTTTCCTTATTCGCAAATTGGTAAGCATTTTAAAACTAGACAATTCATGTACTATTTACTGGTTTCGTTGAACGATAACTTGTTTGCTTGTGGAGGAGGGATTAACCGTGTTACATCCAGGGGAATTACTGACGCTTACTGACACTAAATATGGAGAAGGGGAAGAGTGAGTGTTGAGTACAAATAATCCCAGGGTCTTTAGTGGGAGTCTAAGAATAACGTGGTACGTTACCGAACAATGAATTAAGCACACCTGAGCATGATCTCCGAGTAAGGCGCCATATCAAGATTAAATTAACATCCTTACTGCAGTCCAATCGCATGACGACAACAAACCTTAGCCAAGCATTCTTGTTGGAATGACTGCATGTCCGTAATTGGGATTGGTTGCTTACGCAATTTACAGCGCTTCCAGCCTTTCGGTTGTGGAGAACTGCAGGGTATTAACCAAAAAGTCACTCAGTTTGATTATACAAACTTTCGTTTCGCGTTGCAATGTCGTGGTCTGTTTCCACCGTGATTTTTGTCATCAAGGATTTGGAATGAAGAGTAACCCTTTCCTCGAAAGCGTACTTGTCCTGGAAATCGTGCGGTTTTTTAACTCCGGACCGTCCTCCATTACTGATTTTCGTATCGGTTTATCGAAAGCATGTTGCTTTTCCGCTTGTGAGATTCTCGAGGACCGAACGGTGGACTTTGCCATTTTGTATCCAAAATTCACTTAGTCCTGCTATGAATTATCGGCAATGTGACCAGAACTTCAGGACCACTTTGAGTTATCCTTGGAGGGTTCTGCTATATATTGTGTCCTGTCACGTTGATGCCGATTCAGGTTGGTATATCACCCATACTGAGGTGAGGGTGGGTGCGGAAGAATATGGAGGTGCTTTTAGAACTAGAAAGAAACCGCAAATGACGTTGACAAATGCCGTTTAGGTCTTCTTGGATGTTAAGTGGTTTGCTTCAGAGTTGCCCAATTTTAGAGATACTTTGTTTTAGGATAAAATCTGCCGAGAACTGCCTAGTCTCCTGTTTGGGAAATGATGTCCGTGAGCTCTTGGAAGTTTTTTCCTTTCTTCTACGACTTTGTACACCGGTGTTGAAACCCGTAGATTGTTCAGAAAAAAGCCCGCTTCCTGGAAAGACCAAAGAGCCTCTCTCTCTTTGAGAGGGCTGCTGCACATCTGGGTCAAAAAGGCGGAATTTAGATTCGCCGCTTTTGGATCTTTAGACTACTCAACTTGGTGACAACTTAATGTCTTACCGAAAAACCCGTATGACAGCGCACAGGGCACGCACGAAATAAACAAAGACAAACGGACGGGCAGATATGTAAGCAATGGCATTTTCCACCATACTATAGGCCTCATGACCTGGAACCCATGGTGAATAAACGTGTCCAACCAGAAGTAAGCACAACGATGATCAACTGGTTTCCACAATCTCAATAATCTGAATCTTGAAGATGTGAGTTATAAGGGAACCCGAGTGCACAGGATGTTAGGGATTCCTGGAGTACTGAAGGAAGCGAAACCGAAGAATTCGGCCCGGCAGCAGATGTGCCAATTCACCATGGATGATTAGACTAAAAGGGGCGCGTGGGCCACCTGGGAGGTTTTGGGTTAACGATAGCCGTTCGGAATAACATCTGCCACGATATTACCTATAAACTAAGGTGAAGTGTACTGCGTCCTGGCGGTGGAAAAAAAGCTCATGGTTACCGTGAAGCGGTTAACTAATACTGATTTCCTGGGATAAACTTGCATGGGATTTTTACCACTTGTATTACATTTACGTCTGCACAGTAGCAAGAGTGAACTGCATAACGCAATACTAAGGCGTATGTTGTTTAATAATTCGTTAAACTAAACCAGAAAATGTTAAGACCCTACAACTTGGTGAGGGTCAAAATCAAGTTATCGTGGACAATCATAGTACGTTCCGAGTGACGTGTGTTCGATTCCCGCCAAGCTGGCGGTTTTAACTATTGACTTTTGGAACCATGTATGTCTCCATTGTGCTCATGATCGCTCGCTTATTACTGTCCGCTCTTGCTGTAGCATGTAAATCACAACTGATGAGATTCCTCTGGAAATCCATTTGTATTGGATATCCTGTGCAAATTGGGAAGGCGTTGGGGGCGAATATTCTGGACATCATAATAATCCGATCTTCAGCCAACAGGAAGCATTAATACGTCCGAAGTGAATCGGATCAGTTGCACAGTCATCGCAACTAATAACAGTCATTCGTCTCTTTGTTGAATTGGTGAAGCCGAGTTGGAAGAATCTGAGTCGTCCGTAAATTTCCGACATGTTGGTAAAAATTATAGCGCATGCTGTAACTCGGTCGTCCTTCTTTTCTAGTGGTTTATTTTGCGGAATCACTTTCATGGTCTTCTTTTGCAAGGCACCGTTTTGAACGGCATGTCTTCGGTAGCATTTTCTGGACTTTGGTGTCGGTGAACTCTGACACCTGGATGCTCAATTCCTCTAAGGTGCTAGAAGATTGCGAATTTCACTGTTTAGGAACATGAGCTCTGGCTTCGACAGTGTCAAGTCGGTACTGCCTACGGACGTGAGCATAGCTGTCGCTATCAATAACCTTCACTTTTTGGATTCGATTGTCTCCAGGCAGACTCTAATTGTTGCCCAAAGCACCCAAAGGTACAAATGCCGTGACTAATTGCGTGCGTTGTCCAACTTCCGAGCAATCAGTCCTTTCCGAATTGGAATTTGGCACGTGTGGCAAATATGCTGTCGCGGTGCGAGTAGGCCAAATCCTTGAAAGGACTATCCCTTTTTTGTCGTAAAACAAATAGTTTCAGTTTCCGGAGGTTTGTCCTGAAAGCAATCCAGTTGAGGAGAACTCGTATTTCGTGGGTCACTGTGCTGCTGGATGACTGCTGGTGAAGTGAAAATTCCCGCAACTACTAGAAATTGTTACGGAAGATCTCTTCACCCAGTGCATTACATCGTTACTCAGAAATTTCGAGTATCGACCGTACGACGTAAACCTATTAAACTGGAATTCGTCCTCAACAACAGCCATGAGTTCTACGGTTTGCATACCCACAATCATGCCTTTCAGTTGACCTCACACCAAAAGCCAGGCTGTTCAAACTTTCCGACTCCATCAATAATCAGGAATAGCTTACGTTTCTTCCCATCAAATCTTGAACGCGAGATAGTCATCTGTTCCTCCAGCTTCTAACCACCAACTCTGGTTTTTGTCGACAACGGGATTCATTAAAATACAGTATAGAATCCATGTTTCCCGCTTTCGTTAGTGAGACCACTCTGACTAATTTTAAAGTCTCAAAATCCGTCCCTCTCATTTTCCAGAATTTTCTGTACTGCTCACAATGGTTGCCATAGCCATCTCTTGGAAAGAGAACTCGGTGATTGGTGTGTTAATCAGATTGGTTTCTTGAATCAGTCCCGGGAAAAGTGTAGAAAAATTAGAAGAAACATTCATCTTCGTGTGATAATCTTGTGGTGCATAACTGCCATTTCACCATTAACATCAGACACTCGCAATACGACATGTCAAACCCTGAGGGATAAGAATCGGAATGACATGTGGTATCCGGCCACAGATTCTTCGGT